GTGTGTGTGTGTGTGTGTGTGTGTGTGTGTGTGTGTGTGTGTGTGTGTGTGTGTGTGTGTGTGTGTGTGTGTGTGTGGGGGTGTGGGTGTGGGTTTGGGTGGTGGTGTGGGCATCCGCGTGGGTGTGGGTGGGCGTGGGCGCGGGTGTGAGCGCGGATGTGGGCGTGGTCGTGGGCGTCGGCGTGGGTGTGTGCGTGTGTGTGTGTGTGTGTGTGTGTGGGTTTGACTGTGGGTGTGGGTGTGGGTGGTGGTGTGGGCATCCGCGTGGGTGTGGGTGTGGGCGTGGGCGTGGGCGTGGGCGCGGGCGTGGGCGGGGGCGTGGGCGTGGGTGTCGGTTTGGGCGTGGGCGTGGGCGTAGGTGTGGGCGCGGGCGTGAGCGCGTGCGTTGGCGTGGGCGTGGGCTCTAGGAGGGGGATGGGCGTGGGCGTGGGCGTGGGCGTGTACGTGGGTGTCGGCGTGGGCGTGGGCGCGGTGCTGGGCGTGTCTTGGGGTTGTTTTCAATCGGGCCACGCAGGTCATGGTAATGATCGGATTCTGGCTCAAAAACGGCCCAGGATTAGGAACATATGTCTTTAGATTTGGTACACTGGCTTTCGCGTTTGGTGCATGCTGTTCTGTCTTGTTTTTATTATCTGGGGCACTGGGGTAAATCTTTTTTTTCTGTTTCGATACCACGTGGTTTCTGCCAACTGTGGTTTATGTATGTAATTCGCATTCCTTTGCTGCCACGAGCTATGTTAGCCCGTGGTTTTTGTCAGTCTTGGAGGCGTCCATAAATTAAAGAGCGCCAGACAACACAGTTTTCGTTGATCGTTTTTTTTGTTTTGTTTTATTTCCTTTTCATTTAAGTTCATTTTTATATATAAACATGTGCAGCAACGATACCAGCTATTTTGTTGGTTTGTTTTTTGGGTGCGGGAACCCTTACCAGACAAGCGCATAAGGCACATTGGCGATCACGCACGCCTGCGTATTAGAAATGATGGTGGTAGTGGCGCGTGGATCCCTGGCATGGGCCCCTTGTTTCGTGTGGGGTGCTGCATATTGGGTGCAAACAATGGGGCTTCACCAGTGGGCTGCAATCACTGGGGGGCCGTGTACGGGTGTGGACCGCTCATTGTCAACCTCGCCCTTTGGCAAGTTACAGGGCAAGCCGTCGGGGATGCCATCGTGTGGCCTTTAGTAGGGGGTCCCTGGGGAAACATACCGTCTGCGTACTCTGAGGATTTTTTCGGACATCCCATGATTTGAGTCCATCTCGAAGTCACGAGGGGATGCAGCATTTGACCACGCATAAGGATATCCCCTCACCTGCCCGCCATTTGGCCATACTTCTGTACATTCTCGTGGGAACCAATCTAGTGACCGCAGGCAGCGACATCTTGCGGGAACCTGTCGTTGCGGAGCCCGATCAATGTACATCATGACAAATATACGAGTTTTGATTGCTTCAAAGGAAAGTCCTTAAACCGCAATGCCATGTGGCTGCAACTGTGGAACATCGTGCTGGCCCGATCGCCCGACCAACCAGGAGAATCCTCACGGAGCCCTACCACGCCATGTGACCACAGACACGGAAGTCTCCAGGAAATCACGCCGTCTGGAACCGAAAACGCATCTGCAGGGCCTGCTGTCTGACCTGGGTTGTAACATATATCCGCACCCTGGGGAATCCAGAAGGGGGCAGTATCGCGTGGCTGTCGCCAGGTACGTGTAATCCTTGGCATGTCCCTCCGAGTGGCCGCAGAGCGGGATGCAGATCAGGAGGGGGCCGCAAAGCCGCACCACAGCGCACCACTGGGGACACATAGCTCCCCTACAGCTGGGGCCAATTGGTAGTGGGCAAATTTGAACCACTTCGCGGCAAACACTTTATGGGGGTTCAGGGCATGATCGAACGATAATATCGGGGCCTGAGGACTTGGAGTAGCGACGCATGCATGGATTGGAAGCGCAATGGGTTCCCAAGCGTTCTTTTTACATGTCTTTTCTTATTAGGCCCCCGATTGTCCAGTCTTGTTTTTTTGGCTTGTCGTTGTCGGAGCGACGATCGTTTTTTGTTCGGCGACTTGTTGCTTAGGGAACGGGTCATGTTGCAAGGCGTCCTGAACTTGAACGATGAGGAGGGGTTCAAGCTCGTTCTAGGGGCCAGGGGGGGCGGTTACACATTTTGCACGGGCTTGGAAAAGGGGATCGCAAGGATGATCGGACTCGCAGGAGCGGGGAGGAAGGGCGAGGATGAGGGCCCCTCTTGCAGGCCGCTGCTCGGGGCTGGAGGCAGCTGGAAACGGCTCGAGGTCCGTGGGGTCTCCAGAAGCCGCCCCGACCGAAGGTCCCTCGGGGCCTTCGGAGGCCTTGCGAACTGTTGTTGGCACATCGTGGCCCCATCGAAGCCGACGGCGCAATGGCTGGGACGAAACCGATTGCGCTGTTTACTGTCGAAACCAATTGTTTTCGAGGAGGCTGTGGATATCATTCGGTGGCGTTTCATTGCGTCTGCTATGCGAGGGCCCATGCGCAGGGGGCTTTCGATGGCAGGTCAGCTCCGAACACTGCCAGCCCTACGTGCCATCTTTCCGCTGCCTCCTCATTCCTCCGCCCGTCATCCTCTCTGTTGCTTGCCTTTCCATTCCTTTCCCGTCCTACCTACTTCGTGCACCGTCCTTCTCTGTTTTCGGTGATCTGGGCCTCGTTATCTGATTCCGAGCGGATATCCGAACCCTCCGCGGGTGCAAAGGCAGCGGCGATGACGACGACGTTGAAGTGGGTCACAGCTCAAGGGATGCCTTTCGGGGTCTCTTCGGAGCGCTTTCGGGGGCCTGGTGGACAGTTTGGGGCTGTTTGGGGGCCTCTTGGGGGCCTCCAGTGGCTGTTTGGGGGCGTCCTGGAGGCCTCTTCGGACCTCCTGAGAGCTTCTCGGGGGCGAGGGCTAAAGATGTCCATTCGGGTCCCCCGTCTGGGCACCCTCTTGGAGCCGTTTGGCCTGCCTTGGAGGCGTCTCGGCCGTCTTGGGGCCCTCTGGGGCCATTTTGGGAACCGCTTGGAGGACTTTGGGCCGTCTTGGGGCGATCTTGGAGGCCTCATGGGCCGTCTGGGAGCGAAGGAGCCGAGAGCGCCAAGATCATTCACAAACCCAAGGGAAATTGATGAATTTTGCCTCTCGGGGCCTTCTTGGGAGTGCTTCTGGAGGCCTCTTGGGGTGTTTGAGATCGTTCGGCGATTCGGGGCCCTCCTGGACCGTCTTGGGTGCCTCTTGGGGCACTCTTGGCCTGTCCTGGGGCACTCTTGGCGATTCGGGGCCCGGGACCCCGAGGGGATTCGTATCTGGGTGGCGACCCCCCCGGGAACCCCCCCCCGGGCCCCCCCCCGGGACCCTTCGCCCCTTCCCGCGCCCTTCCTTCGTATCCTTTCATTCTCGTCTCCTCCACCTCTGCTCGGCCTGTTCCCATCCCTATCCTTACTCCTCCACCTCATTCTATCCTCATCCCCTAACACCTCTTCTCACACCGCCATCTTTCGTCCCCTCCACCTCCTCTCGCACCTCTTGTCCATGTCTTTTGATTCTCATCTCCTCCAACTCCTGGTCAACTTGCTCCTTTCCTCGTCTTCTTTCCTCCCCCCTGCGGTTCTCCTCCCCTCCACGTTCATATTCTCTCACACCTCTCTCTTCGTTTTTTTCATGCTCTCATGCCCTCCTTCATCTCCTCCCGTCCACTTGTCCTCCATCTCCCGCTCAACCTGCTCCCATCCTTAGCCCGACTCCCCCACCTTCTCCCCCATCCTCTTCCTCTCCACCTCCTCTCACACTGTCCTTTCCTCCATCCTACTCACCTCTTCTCGCACCGCCCATCCTGCATCTCCTCCCGTCCCCTTGTCCTCCATCTCCCGCCCGCTTCCACCTCCTCCCATCCTCTCCCCCTCCACCTTTTCCCACGCCGTCCTCGTCATCCCCGTCACCTTCCGCATCCCCTCTCCATCTCCTCCCATCCTCACCTCCGCCTCCCGCTCAACGCGCTCCTTGAACCCCGGTTTTCGATCCTCGACATCGATGCCCGAGTCTGGATCATAGACATTCCTTCTGTGTTGGCCTTTTCCCGTTTGGGGGGGGGGGCCCTCGCGGCCACTGGACGCGGCTGATAAAACGAGTCAGGGTGGACATGTCCGCGCAGCCTCTTCCTCCTCCTCCGTCCTCCCTCCTCCCTCTTCCCTCTCCTCCTCCTCCTTCTCCTGCTCCTTCTCCTCCTTCCTCCTCCCCTTGCTCCTGCTCCTCCTCCTCCTCCTCCTGGTAGGCGTGGGCGGCGGGCGGTCGGAGATGGCAGCGGGAGCGGTGTTTCCGTCGTGGAGTGGGGGACACCAGGCAAACTCACTTATTGCATGTTCTCGGACGCAGTGCGGGCGGTTCACCCCACCGAGAAGGTGCTTCCTGGCCTCGACGCAGCGGCCTAGAGAGTGGGTCATTGAAACGATGTTACAAGCCGTAACACATGCAGTCGCACATGTAGTATCATATATCACGGAACAAACTTCGCGCATTCCACGACACAGCCCAGTGGAGTTCTGGGTGGCCGCCGTACCCGTCGGTGCAGTCGTGGTCGTCGCCGCCTCCGCCGTTGTCGTCGTCGTCGTCGTCGTCGTCGTCGTCGTCGTCGTCGTCGTCGTCGTCGTCGCCGCCGCCGCCGCTGCCGCCGCTGCCGCCGCCGCCGCCTCCGCCGCCGCCGCCGCCGCCGCCGCAGTCGTCGACGTCGTCTTCCTAGCCGTCGCCGTCGTCGTCGTCGTCGTCGTCGTCGTCGGCGTCGTCTGTTGGCGTCGTCGGCGTCGTCCGTCGTCGTCGTCGACGTCGTCGTCGTCGGCGTCGGCGTCGTCGTCGGCGTCGTCCGTTGGCGTCGTCCGTTGGCGTCGTCGTCGTCGTCGTCGTCGTCGTCGTCGTTCGTCGGCGTCGTCGGCGTCGTCGTCGTCGTGGGCGTCGTCGGCGCGCGCGCCGCCCGCGCGCACCGCCCCAGCGGAGCGCCCAAGGGAGGCCGCTTGGGCCCCGGCGGCGGGCGCGCGCCAGGCGCGCGCCGGCCGCGGCCATGGGCCCGGGCCGGCAGGCCGCGGGCGCGAGGGAGGAGGTGCGCGGTGCGCGGCCGCCGCCCGCGTCGTCGTCGTCGTCGTCGTCGTCGTCGTCGTCGTCGCCGCCGCCGCCGCCGCCGCCGCCGCCGTCGTCGTCGTCGTCGTCGTCGTCGTCGTCGTCGTCGTCGTCGTTGTCGTCGCCGCCGCCGCCGCCGTCGTCGTCGTCGTCGTCGTCGTCGTCGTCGTCGTCGTTGTCGTCGTCGTCGTCGTCGTCGTCGTCGTCGTCGTTCGTTGGTGTCGTCGTCGTCGGCGTCGGCGTTGGCGTCGGCGTCGGCGTCGTCGGGGGGACGTTTCGGGCTCGAGGTTTGTGGGTTTGAGGTTTTCGGGCGTTCTCGTCGATGCTCGACGCTCTCCTACTGTCTGGGCGCAGTGTCTTGCTTGTGTGCCTTGGTTCTCGTCTCCTGTCCGCTCCTTCCCCCTACCCCTCGCGTCCTCCCATCTCTCTCACACTCTCCTCACTTTAATCTCTCCCTGTCGCCTTGCCTCCCCATATGCCTGCTTGCTTCCCCCTCACAGCCCTTGAAGGAATCCCATCTCGCTCTGCGCTCTGTCGCTCTCTCTCACTTCGTGTCTGCACCTCGCCCCCCCCCCCTCTCTCTTCTCTCTCCCTCTCTCTCTCTCTCTCCCTTTGTTCTCTTCCCCCAACCCCCTCCCCTGTCTGCCTCCCTCCCTCCAGTCTTCTCAATATGAATACCTCCCCCCGGGTGATGGTAGGGGAGTGGCCTGCCCCCTCCGCGTTTCACTTTTAGCCAGGATTTACTATATTCTTCAGTCTTTGTCTTAGGGTCTGAATACTGGTCCTTCCCTTTTTGAGAAGTGTGCCTATACAATTGCCATTTGATCCTTGCTATTTGTTTTTTTTCCATCGGAGCGTTTTCGGTATCTGAAAGTGGTCCTGCCGCTGTAGCGTTGGCGCACTGTAGGATCGGTTCTTTGCTCCCGCCGTTCAGAATGGCACTCTCGCCCTGGCGGGGCCGTCTTTCTGTCCTCGTTGTTGTCGCCCCTTCTCTTTCCCCTCCTCGGCCTTCCCCTGGTCCTCCTGATCCTCCCGCCCGCCCCTTTCACTCCAGTTCCCCCTGCCAGGTGAGCTGGGGCGAGAACCACAAGCAGGACGGGGAGAGCGGCGCCCCCGCCTGCAAGGAGCGGCGGGAGCTCGGAGAGGGCGTCCTCCACTGCCGCAATTCACGGTCTTCACTCATTTCAAGTCGGGCATGTCCCTCTACAGGAGGGATGATCAAGAATAGTACAAAGTAGTCAAGGGACGATATCCCTACACTTTTGACTATTTTTGATGATTTTCGTGGCATCTTCTCTTTCAACATCCGCCTGTAGGAGGACATGCCCGGCTTAATACTAATTTTCCCGAATTCCCCCGAACCGCCATGCATGCTAGGATCCCTCGCGGGAGCGTTCGGGAGCGCCGAGGCGAGGGGCCGATCGTTCCGAAGCGCTGCGAGTCGGCGGGCGGCGCGCGCGGAGGATGGGGGATGGGGGAAGAGCGGGAGAGCGGGGCAAATGCACACGGGGGGTTAGCCAGAGCGCCGGGTCTTGCAGATCCTCCAAAGCCAGGGCTGCATTGGCGCGGGCCGGGGCGCAGGATCCCGCCCCAGACATGCGACGTCCTGATTTTTTCAACACGCGGTCCCCAGGAGTCCCGACCCTTTCCCCCGGACCAGCTTTTCATCCCGAGTCGTTTTTTGGCGGTCCCCGGGCGGCCCCCAGAGGCCGAAAATGGTCAAAACCTCCCGTCGTTGTGTTTTTACGACGCTGTCATGTCCGGGGCAGGATCCTGCAGGCTGCCGCAGGATCCTGCAGGGCCCGACTGGCCCAGTTTGCACTGACCCGGGTCAGTGGCTCCCCCCAGGGCGGCGGGCGGCAGGCCGTCCCCGTCGCTTGGCGACGCTCTCGTGCACAGAGGGGAGGCCTGCCCAGACAGGTCCGACCGAGGACATTTGCGCCGGTCCACTCGACGACGTTGGGACTCGAGGGTGCCCGTGCGGTCCTCAGTGGGTTTCGCCAATCGACGTGCGCTTCGCTGGATAGGTTCGGTTGTTTTGGGACGCCGATCGGCTGCCCAGCTAGGGGGCCACATGCGAACACTACCCCTACCCCTACCCCCCACGATTTCTGAGGGGGAGGGGTAGGGTTCGCACGTGGCCCCCTACCAGCTGGGTCCTCTCGGAATGCGGTGCCGTGCGCACGTGGAGAGCCCCCGGCAGCTTTCACCAAAGAACGTTTCGGTAAAGGGTGTGCTGTCAGTCTTGGACCCTCTCTCGCTGGACGGGGGAGAGTCTGATCGTGTGCTGCCAGCAGTGGTCCGGGCCCAAGGTGTCCCCCGTTTTTCGCGTTGTTTTGGAGTTTCTGGGGCCTTTCGGGTTTTTTGAGGGGTGCTCTGGAGGTTGTTTGGGTTTTCCAGGGAGTCCAGGGGACACTCCAGGCCAGAGACACCTCTGGCAACACGAGGACAGGCCAGGAGCTGACGCATGACCACGAGGATAGGGCCAGGAAGCTCAGTATCGTTTGACCGACCCCGATCCCCGTCCCCCTCCCGACTCCACCATCCCACCACCCCAGTTGGGGACATGCCCCTCGACACCCGAAGGGAACTAACAGCCTGCATCTCCGTCTTAGGGTGGTAAAGCGACAAGTGGGGCCCATGCCACGCCGGTGGGGATAGGTCGACTGGGGGATTGACTACAGGATTTACTTGCCCCTTAGGCGATTTTCAAGTCAGGCCAGCTGCACAGCAAAGCCGTCGCACGCCGAGCAGCAACTCTTGCGCCCACCATTCGGCGGCGAGCGAGAGAGGGAAGTGAGAAGGGGCGGACCTTCTCAGAAGGCCCAGAAGTTTCCTGGCCTTTGAGAAGTTTTCTGAGCCTTCCTTGGAGACACGGAAGTTTTCTCAGAAGGCCGGAGGGCTTCTGAGAAGCCCTGGCGCCTTCTGAAAAGGCCTTCTCCTTCTCATTTCCCCCCCTCGCTCGCCGCTGAATGATGATGTTCGGCTCACGACGCCAGCGTGGCCCTGGAAGGGGCAGCGCGCCAGCGGTGTCGGACCTCCGACGTGGCGATTTGATCCCATGCGGCAGGATTCTGCTGTACCGGCGAAGAACGTCACAGACCTATACCTTCGGAGGTCCGCGCGGATCTCTTGGGTCGACGCTGGCCGCCGAAACACCTCTTGCGCCCACCATCGCCGCGGGGAGGGCGACCGCGCCGAGTGGCCCGAGCGGCGCCGCCGTCGACCCCCGCGAGGAGCCCGGGCACGGCCCGGGCGGCGGACGCCCTGTCGCCGAGACGTGCCGGATGTGCTCATGGATCTTTACCAGGGATCCCCTGCTAAGGATGATGAGCCTGTTTTCCACCACCACCACCATAAGTTGAAGGGGGAGGGGGTCCTCCTCCTCCTCCTCCTCCTCCTCCTCCTCCTCCTCCTCCTCCTCCTCATCCTCATCCTCCTCCTCCTCCCCCTTCAAATTATGGTGGTGGTGGTGGTGGTGGAAAACAAGCCCATCAAAGGATCCCTTACCGAGGATTCCTTACTACGGATCCCTTGTCAAGGATCCTCTTACTGAGGAAACCTTACCAAGGATCCGTGACTGAGGGCTTCTGAGTACCCAAGGATCTCCTGCTGAGGAATCCTTACCGAGAAATCCATACTGAGGGTCCCTTGATAATGACGACTTGCGAAGGCGTCCCTGCGGAACATTCATAGCCGAGAATTCCATGCGAAGCCTTCCCACCGCGGAAGTGGGGGTGGAGGATGAGGGTGGGATGAGGAGTGGGAGAGGGGGAGGGGGCAGGGGATGGACGAGGAGTGAGGAGGAGGGAGGAGGGAGGAGTCCTCCCTCCCGTGCCCCGCCTCGCCCCCGTTTCCCCCCCTTTCTGCCTCTTCGCTCGAAGACTCGGCGCTTTGCGGCGACGTTCTGGAAGACGCTCGCGCTGGAGGGCGGAGGGGCGAGTCCCTTCTCTGACGCTCCAGAAACATCCTCATTGCCAGACAGGTGGCAGGCGTCCAGACACGCTCCCGAGCGTACCGAGGGCACGTTTTCTGTTGTTGTTGTTGTTGCTGCTGCTGCTGCTGCCGTTGTTGTGCTTGTGGTTGTGGTTGTGGTTGTGGTTGTGGTTGTCGTTGTTGTTGTGGTTGTTGTTGTTGTTGTCGTTGTTGTTGTTGTTGTTGTTGTTGTTGTTGTTGTTGTTGTTGTTGTTGTTGTTGTTGTTGTTGTTGTTGTTGGTGGTGGTGGTGGTGTTGTTGTTGCTGTTGATGTTGATGTTGTTGTTGATGTTGTTGTTGGTGTTGTTGTTGTTGTCGTCGTTGTTGTTGTTGCCACTGTTATTGCTGCTGCTGCAGTTGTCGTTGTCGTTGTTGTTGTCGTTGTTGTCGTCGCCGTTGTCGTTCTCGTCGTTGTTGTTGTTGTTGTTGTTGTGGTTGTTGTTGTGGTTGTGGTTGTGGTTGTTGTTGTTGTTGTTGTTGTTGTTGTTGTTGTTGTTGTTGTTGTTGTTGCGGCCGTTGTTGTTGTTGTTGTTGTTGTTGTTGTTGTTGTTGTGGTTGTTGTTGTTGTTGTTGAACCCTCATTAATGAAGATTTTTTTTTTGATCCCCCCTCGGTTGCACATATTTTTTTCAATTAAAGTGCCCCTCCTGGCGCTCGCACCCTTGTTGTTCAGGGAAAGTCTTCCTCCTCAAACTGCGTGGTTGGCCCCCGGGTTACAACAACAACGGCTCCCGCCTGAGATTTTCTTACAATTTAGCCAGGACCCTCGCTCCCGTCCGAGACTTCCTCGCATTTTATGCAAGGATCGCGCTCTCGCTTGGGACTTCCTCACAATTTATTTGGGCATCGCTCTCTCGGTGCTCTGGAGTCGCGCTCTCGCTGGAGACTTGCTTGCAATTTACTCAAGCGCCGCGCTCCCGACACTTAGGCACCCAGGAGTCGCGCTCACGCTTAGGACTCCCTCACAGGTTATCTAGGAATCGGGATCTCGCTGCGCTTCGTGGCCCCGTTTCAGCCCTTCGTGCCCCCCTCTGTCCTTCGTGGCCCCGTTGCAGCCCCTCGTGGCCCCCTCGCTGCCCTTCGTGGCCCCGTCGCAGCTCTTCGTGGCCCCTCGCTGCTCTTCGTGGCCCCGTTGCAGCCCCTTGTGGCCCCCTCGCTGCCCTTTGTGACCCCGTTGCAGCCCTTCGTGGCCTCCTCGCTGCCCTTCGTGGCCCCATTGCAGCCCTTCGTGGCCCCCTCGCTGCCCGTCGTGGCCCCGTTGCAGCCCCTGGTGGAACCTTTGTTGCCCTTCGTGGCCCCATTGCAGCCCTTCGTGGCCCCCTCGCTGCCCGTCGTGGCCCCATTGCAGCCCTTCGTGGCCCCCTGGCTGCCCTTCGTGGCCGCATATATGTATGCCCTTCGTTGCTCCCGCTCGTTCGCGCCCGTCGTGGCCCCATTGCATGCCCTTCGTGGCCCCGCTGTCGCCCTTCGTGGCTCCCTCGCTGCTCTGCGTGGCCCCGGTGCTGCCCTCAGTGACCCCGTCCTTGCCCTCCGCGGCCCAATATACGTATGCCCTTTGTGGCCCCCGCTCGTTCGCGCCCGTCGTGGCCCCATGTGCATGCCCTTCGTGTCCCCGCTGTCGCCCTTTGTGGCCCCCTCGCTGTCCTATGTGGCCCAGTTGCTACCCTCAGTGTCCCCGTCGTTTCCTCCTGTTTCCCCGCATTATCTGCCCTTCGTGGCCCCCGCTCGTTCGCGCTCTTCGTGGCCCTGCTGTCGTTCTCGCTCTCGCTCTCGCTTTTGCTCGTCGTCGTCGTCGTCGCCGTCGTCGTAGTCGACGTCGACGTCGTCGTCGTCGTCGTCGTCGTCGTCGTCGTCGTCGTCGTCGTCGTCGTCGTCGTGGTCGGTCCCCTGTCCGTCCTTTTTGGGGTCGGGTTGCCGCCGATCAGCGCTGCCGCTGGCCAGGCCGACGGTCCGCGGCCGCCCCGCCGCTTGCCGGAGCCCGGCCTGCAGGGAAGAAAGGTACCCCCCCAAAAGAGGTTCGGTCGAAGACGAATGGGGGCGGGTATCGAGGCTTTGGGAAATACACGTTCACGGACACTCGAGCAGATAAGAGCGAACAGTCTTAATATGATTGCTGTTGTTGCTGTTGCTGTTGCTGTTGCTGTTGCTGTT